TGTGTTGTGGTTCTTTGTGTTCTGATTGGTTGGGATTTTTTGTAGTTAGGGTTATTTTGCCACCTGTTGTTTTGGCTCATTTTTTCTTTTTTTGCAGTGTTTTTGTGTGCTTGTTTTCATGTGGATGAAGATATTTTCAAAAACCTGCTGTGTGTGTGTGAATGTGTGTGTGTTTTTTTTTAAATTACAGCAGAAAATTTCTGTTTTAAAAATATTTATTTGTTTGGAATTAGCATAAGGGAGAGTTTCATTTTTTTTGGCCACTGCCCAGAGGTCATGGCCATGGCTGAGTGGAAATGTAGACGGACTGAGAAGTCAGCGGTCTCACTTTTACATTCAGTTTTCTCTTTGGCACAACACAAGCACGGGTCTGTCTGTGAATCAAGTGACAAACGTTTGCAAAGTGAGGATATTGTCATGATAGTCCTGACGTGACTACACCTTCAGGCTTGAAAACTTTGGACTCTTGCACTAAAACCTCCTCTGCGTCAAGCTGCAGATCCAGCTATTGCCACATGTTTGAAGTTCATAGTGAAATTACAAGCAAACAAGTGGCCAGAATGGGACTTCCTAAAAATGGCAGCCACACTGGAAGCTGACCAGAGGTGCATACTATTCAGAGCTTTCTCGGAATATGGATGATAATAGTTGTTGGCATGTAGCAACAATTTGACAGTGTCTTGATATTTTGATACTTTTTAACCATTAAGATAGCTTCTTACTGGTAAATAACAAGAACTGACCAGACTGCTGTTCTCAGAGGAGAAGAAGTAAACTGTCAATGAACTCAGGTGACAAGATGTCCCTCTTTATGTGGGACTGCACAGCATTTTTATTACTTGTCCCCCTTTTCCAAATCTTGAGACAATGTCCCTGATTTTTGGCTGATTCTGCTGAACATGCACATTTCTAAACTCTGGTTTTTACACAATGTATATCAAGCGAAGGCTTTTTAACCATAGTCAGGAGAAGATTATCTTGTCTAATGCCAAACTCATCAGGGAAAGTTACAAATTCCCAGAAATCACAAGCTTGTTTTGTCAAATGTGAAGGAGAGTACCATGAACACCAGTATAAAGAAAATAAGGCACTATAGAAGTAAAACTGAACTGAAAATGAAGCGGCAGTATATTCTGAGAAAATGGTTTGCTTGAGTAATTTGTCAGCTTCGCGCAGGGAGGGAAGTGTGTGGTGTGAGGTGACATGTGTGTCGTCATTGGATTAAAATTGTTAGATATGGTGCCAATCTATGCATACAGCCAAGCTAAACCCCCAAAACTCTTATTAGGAAGGAGATAAGCTAAGAAAAATACAAAAAGAGAATATGGGAGTATAAACAAACAATTGCCCCGTACATGCTACATGACACTCTGATAACTGTTTATTTTTAAATTAAAATTAAAATTATGTGTTTGTCCACATTTAGTATGTTGAGATCTGTTCACCCTACTGTAAACAGATCACAAGCTGAGTCACTGAAAGTATGGCAGCATTACTGGATTGAAAATGTGACTACATACTAAAAAAAATCAGAGTGTTTTCAGCAGAGTGAAATCTTTGCCAGCTTTTTTTTTTTTTTTGAAGTCTTTTCTTAGTCAGTGATCTGATTCTCTCTGCTAAGCTGCCTGTGTGGAGCCACTGCAGGGCATCGCGATGGTTCAGGTTTCACCAGTCCACATTTACACCAATTATGTGTCCCACAAACACAAATACTTGCATACTTGCAAACTCTATGCTTGTCTCTAACTCTGACACATGTACTCTCTCATAAAGCCTCAGTGTTGAGTGACGGACCTCCAGCAGAATAATGTCTCCTCTGTTGCTGTGGAAATCTCACATTATGTCACTGGGATGCAATACAAGCCTTTCAGCTCACAACTAGCTGGATGGACGAGCATTGGATCTGAGGCAGTGAGATTTAAAAAAAAAAACAAAAAACACACACACACACACAACTTAGAAGTGTCAGTTTTTGAACATACACTACTCAAAGGTTTGGTGTGATTTTACTTTCTGATTTGTTGAATATATCCATGGCATCAGCTGGAAGGAACACCAGGTAGTAGAACACACAAAAATAACTTTCATTTTTCTGAAAGTTGTCTCAATGCAATGCTAGAAGTTAATAAAATAAGACCCTGATATACTACTATACTATACTATACCTATACTACTCCATATGGAAACATTAACTGTCTTGGACCAGTGCAGAAGCAGCAGGACAGATCTGACCCTGAACAATAATTAAATGCACAAAGGCTGATGCTCCAGACACTGAAAACTGATTCCTTCTTTCACTGAAAAAGTCATTTCAAGCTGTGCTAAACTGATCAGTTAGACTTTTAGCATGACACATTAGCCTTGGCTAATGCAATGTGCAAAATATAAACTACATAAAATAAAAAACGACAACTTTTACTGAAATCAGTCGAGAAGCCCATGCTGTGTGTGGGACCATCATATTTATTGACTGTGAAGTCACATCTCGTGGCGCTGACAGTTGACAAAAACACAGACAGAGCTGACACACAATAGAAAAACTCTGCCTTTATTTTGTATTTGAGGACATGCGTCAAATGTGTGATTTCTTCCCACTGTAAAGCCATTTTTAGCTACAAGAGTTTTTTGATAGTCAAAGGTGAGGCTTTCTTCTCTTTCTAATTGTTGTTTTTTTTTGTTTTGTTTTGTTATTGTTGTTACTATTTAACTGCTTTATTTTACAAAGCTGTTAAACAATTTGTTAACTTGGTCCTTTATACACTCCTATCCAGACAGAGGAAGCTATTTAAAAGGTAGGAAGTTTGAATGATGATAAACTTGTGCTGTCACTTCATTCCTGTTGCTGTAACTGTTTCATAATCACTAGCTGCCATATGTCTACGTGACAGTGTTCATGTGCCATCTATGCTTTGTGCTTTTGTTTAGTTCGATTTTTGAAAATGCCCATGTGAGCATATAGACAGGATAACTTTGAAAATGAGGTATAATCACTTTGAGGACTGCATTTGTTCTTGTTTCTTTATTCTTGGACATGTTTCATTATGTTGCCCATTCATTCAGTGAGCAGGCATGAGGCCATCACTTCTCCATGAAATCAATGAGCTTCTTTATGAAGAAGATCATCCACTTCATTTTCTGCCCTCTTTACAACAAGGGTGTCGAACAGTTTAACTGAGTGGATGGCATCAATGGCCAGACAGAAACATTTTCACAGGCTTTCATTTCTTGTAACACTTTTGTAACAGCCTGTGACTAATGAGCAAGTGACAAGTAATGTGAGTATGGGTATTTTTACTAATGCCAAAAATAATAACGGTAAATAATACATCTTTGCATTATGTTCTTGTATATAGCCTGTGTAGTAGGCCTAACATTTACAACTGAAACTTTGGGTAGGACATTTGAATAAAAAGTTAAAATTGATTTTCTAGTTTTCCAAAATCACAACACAGATGATGTTCTTTGAACACAGAGATCAACTTGCAAAGAGATGTTTGGTAAAGAAGTTCTGAGTCTTCCACCTTTTGAAATTGCCTGCTGTGCCGTTCTGTGTTGGTTAGCTTGTAAGCTCGCAGGTGTGTGCAGTGACTGTGCACTTGTCTCTTTGGTTTGGTGGTGTTGCATTGCAGACCACAGCTGCATCTAGGAGGCCAAAATTTGTTGAGAACCTAAACTAATAAAAGGACTGGATTCAAATTTAAGAAGGGCTGAATTTGGTCCACAGATCTTGAGTTAAGAGTAAAGATGACAGAACATAAAAATGAAAAATCCAGAGGATAAAAACAAGGAACTTAAGGTATTTATGTGCCAGTCTAATGTGTTATACCCACTCTTTCCCTGTTTTCCTCTCCAGGACTTCGCTTTGCTACCCGAGAAAGACAAGACGTATCTCATTGATGGAGGGGGGACCCTCAGTGGTGGTCAAAGAGCTCGTCTCTGCCTTGCCAGGTAGTTTCTGTCACACCTGAACATCTGTCAGCAGGCCTCATTCACTCTTGTTTGTCTGTCAGCACAGACTACCTTTGCTCATTAGTTAGAATTTTGGTTCTTGTTTTGTATCAACTTGTGTGTTTCTTCTGTAAGTTCTACATCATCGCTGTAGCACTTCCATAGCAACAGGTTACATAAAAGAAATATCATAAAACATTAACGACATTAAAATAACCCTCTAGCTACAGTATATGTGTCCAGCAAAAAGAATAAGTATCAGTGTACTTAATCAGAAGCTGCTCAGGATCCCATATCACTCATATGTGTGTTGCTGTCTGCTTTTTATGGTTTCTGTGGCTTTTACAGCCCGAGCTTTATTGCTCTTTTAAATCTCTGTGGATCAGCCAGAAACTCTCGTGTTCCCATGCATTATTTATTGGTTTAGTGTGCTAACGTTAATTTGCAGCCACTCCTTGATTTTTTTTAACTTCTGCTATCAACATAGCGATTCACTGTGACTGATATATTCCAGCTTCTCTTCTTTGCCTTTCTGCATCTTATGCTTTCTCTAATTTTGTTTGTTTGCTTTTTTGTTTTTTAAAGCAAATTGGAACATTTTCTTTACCTTCCTTGTTATCTGTGACCTAATATGTGTGTTTCTCTCTCAGGGCTGTGTATAAAGATGCAGACCTCTACCTCCTGGATGCGCCTTTCACCCACCTGGACATCGCTACAGAAAAAGAGATCTTTGAAAAGTGCGTGTGATAACAGAGAGTCTTTCATGTGGAGGAGGTCGGGGTGATTAGGCGAAAAACTGACTTCAAAGTCAAGGTTAACGCTGAAAATGCTCTTTTCTGTTGGGAGTCATAACTGCTTTATCACAATGTAACCTTCGCAGGAAATGTATTTCTTTCTTTTTTCTTTTTATAGAGTAAAGCTTTTATGCTTGGATGGTCTTTGGTTAGCCTCCATTTTGGAAAAGCAGACAAAATTGCTTGTAAACTTTTAGAGTTGTGAAATCCCTGACTGTATTTATATATACACTCTTATAATGTGTGTATATATAAATACACATTCATATAAATATCCATATCACTAGCTCGATTTTTATAGTTTCTGGTAATTATAATTTCTATTCTGCATTTGTTAGAAAGAAATAAGCCCTTCTTTGTCAGACTTTTTTTAAAGTGTGCATTTGTATCCACACACAGCTGCATCTGTAAACTTATGGCCTCCAAGACTCGTGTCGTAGTAACCAGCAAGTTGGAGCATCTCAAACGTGCAGACAAAATCCTTCTGCTGCACAATGGAGATTGTTACTTCTATGGCACCTTTTCAGAGCTGCAGGCCAAGCGTCCAGACTTCAGCTCCCTGCTTCTTGGTCTTGAGGCTTATGACAACGTCAATGCTGAGCGGCGTGGATCCATTCTCACAGAAACTCTTCGCAGGGTTTCAGTTGATGAAACCGCTGGTTTCCGTGGCCCAGAGCAAATTCGTCAGTCTTTCCGACATGCACCAGCTCAAAGCCATCCTCTAGGTGATGGCTACCCTGAAAAACGCAAGCAGTCACTCATCCTTAATCCTCTGGCAGCTGCCCGCAAGTTCTCCTTCATTGGGAATTCTCAACAAACTGGAAACACGACAGTGGAAGACAGGTCTGATGAACTCCCAGAGAGAAGATTCTCTGTAGTGCCTGAAGATGAACAAATAGAGGAGGCACTTCCGAGGAGTAACCTGTACCATGATGAGTTTCAGCATCTTAGCGGGCAGCGGCGCCAGTCTGTCTTGGAGTTCATCACCAGTGCTCGGGGCCAAGAGCGCAGAGAGCAGATGCAGTCATCTTTCAGGAAAAAGCTCTCCATCACACCGCAGTACAGTCTTGCATCAGACCTGGACATTTACTCCCGCCGCCTGTCCAAGGACAGTGTTTATGACATTAGTGAAGATGTGGATGAAGAAGACATGGAGGTAAGGCTTTTTAACATATTATCCTGTTATGTCTCTGAAAATGATTATGTAAAAATATTTTCACAAACTGTGCTATGTACCAAAATCAAGAAATTATTGTTAAGTGAGTCACATGGTTAAAACCCATCTATTCTGTTTCTTGACAGCAATGCTTTGCAGATGAACGTGACAAAAATGTCTTTGAAACTACCTCATGGAACACTTACCTACGCTACGTAAACACTAACAGGAACTTAGTCTACGTCCTCATTTTCATCTTCATTGTCTCTGTCATTGAGGTAAAAATCAAAGATTTGGGGTTTTTGTGTTATTGTGTGAATTTAATTAACAGCATTTTGTTTTCTTTTCACAAATAGGTTGCTGGCTCTGTCCTCGGTATTTTTCTTATTACTGAGTAAGTCTCATGTTTCATGTTGCCTTAAACAGAAAATGCAGATTCTTCTCTTTGTCTTTGGATAGTCAGCTAGTGTGCTCTGAGCTCTCTAATCATGTTAACTGTAAATACTATTTAAATAGTATTTACAGACCTTACTGTAAATCACTGGTTTTCCACTGGCTCCCAATCTATAGCCAGGTGGACAAAATAATTTGTTGTAAATCATAAAATTGAGTACTATGGTTAAAAGTACGTTTACACAAATGGGGCCCATGTATACGATAAATGGACTGATTCTTATATAGTGCTTTTCTACTCTCCTGAGGCATTTAACATCCCACATTCACACAAGGACTCTTTTCTATACTGTTTTTTTAAGTTACTAACTAACATTCACACATATTCATGCTTTGATGGCTGCATCAGAGAGAACCTGGGGCTAGTAGTCTTGCCCCAGGATATTTGGCATGCAGACAGGCAGGGTTTGAACCACCAGCCTTCCGGTCAGAAGATGACCTGCTCTACCACCTGTGCTACAGCCACCCAACATATGGTGACAAAACAAGCAGATTGTGTCATTTACTCCTTCCAGCATCCTCCAATAGGAACTTCGAATGAATTTATCAGAGATGTCCGAGGCTTATAAGGGTGGTCCTTGGACGATTTCCTTCGCTGTGCACATTCACATGCTAACGAGTAGGGGACACATGCATGGCTGTTGCGCTGTAGTGTGTTGGCTTGAAGAAATAAAAAACTAGCACATAGACATCCACATGGATCAGAAGTTCACCCTCTGATCAAATCCATGTCAAATGGCTCTAAGTGAACTTGTGTTTAGGTCTTATATTTCTTTTCACTTTTCTTATTTTTCACTGGTGACTGATTTTAAATGTGACAGTAGGTTTAAATGTACTTATTTTTGTGGTTATTTGTTTATTTAATTGTTTAATTATTACATGTTAATTACTAGACAAAGACAAAGCCTTCCATCTTTAGGTTACAGTGAGGGACGATGAATTAGCTCTGTTCATGTAAAACGAGTTGAAAACAAGTACTATAAGTGTAATTGTCTCTATCATGAGCTGATTTAACTGCTGCTTTATTTAAATGTGTAAATGAGAGTAACCAAAAGCGAACATTAAAAATATCTGTTTATTAACATCAGTAATTTACATTTAGAGGTCACAATTATGCAGAAATCAATAAAGGTAATTTTGTGATCTATTCTATAATGAAGAATTGCTCCATGTAACATTTATTATACATTCCTCACATCCAACAGTGAGGTCTGGAGGGACGCCGCCAATCCTTCATCGCCCAACTATATTGATGAGCAGCACCCCAATGCATCGTCGCCGCCTGGGCATCTCGGTGTTATTATGACACCCACCAGTGCTTATTACATCATCTACATCTTTGTAGCCCATGCGGACAGTATTCTGGCCCTGGGATTCTTCAGGGGTCTCCCTTTAGTGCATACATTACTGACTGTGTCCAAAAGACTGCATGAACAGATGCTTAGCTCTGTGCTGCGAGCCCCCATGTCTGTGCTCAACACGATAAAAACAGGTGCTTTGCTTTTTTACTTTTTGAGTAAAACAGATTTTTACTGGTTAATGGCCTAGATGATGTCACTAAATAAATGAATGATGGTACAGAATCCCTGTAGAACAAATCTGATTATCAATACTGATTACTAATATCTTCCTTTACTACAACACCTTCACACTTTCGCTGTCCTCTTTCAGCCAGGATCGTGAACAGGTTCACCAAGGACATGGCCATCATAGATGACATGCTGCCATTGGTGCTTTTTGACCTCATACAGGTATTTATTCAATACAGTGGATGATGATGCATAGTTTTTGAAACTGCAAAAAGTGACTGAAAACTACTGCAACAAATATTCCCTCTTTCTTCATTGTAAATTGATTAATGGGGTGCAATCGTAAGCAGAATAAATAAATAAATGACAATTTAATTTCAAAATTCAATTTCCTCAATTTATCCTTTAACCTTTTGAATCTTTCCCTGGAGAAATTGGACAATGTTTTTTATTCCTCTGTAAAAGTTTTACAATCATATTATAATAAAAAAGAAAAATGATTAAAAACAACATTAAAACATGCAGTGAAAATAAGAACAGGGAAACTGAAAACATCTTTTTTTAAAGCCAGAAATACCAAATAATAATAAGTCTGCTCATATCTGTTATTAACATATTTTCCAAACACCAGGTGTCATTAATCGTCGCCGGTGCCATCTTCACTGTGTCCATCATAGAGCCATACATCTTCATCGCTGCTCTCCCATTGGCTTTTATCTATGTTTTCCTCAGGAAGTATTTTCTACGAACTGGACAGCAACTTAAAGTCCTGGAGGCTGAAGGTGAGCATTGGAGAGTTGTTGGCCGTTAGAGATGACAGTGCAATGTCAAAAAATGTATTGAATTTCACAGCTCGTTGTCATGATGGATAGGTTTTAGTGACTCCAGCAGTAAATGTAAAATGTAGAAAGGGGTAAAAAATGAAATTTGCTGTAGTTTAATAATATGTTTACATATCTTTCGAGATAAATTGTCTAAATAACCTATGTAAGAAAAGAGGCTAGAAAAAAATGAGAAAAAACGTTACTTCTTCGTAAAGCATAATGGTATTATTTAAATAGTTCTTACTGCTTTGTATGTGATGTATTATTAGGCATATGTCTGGGTGCTGTTCTTTAGCTCTGGCTCTTCCAGACTTTAATCCTGAAGATGAGTTTTTCTTTTCTTTTTGAGGGGAGAGAACATGGGCTCAGAAAAGAGTAGAGTAATGAGTAAGTGAGTAGTGAAATATATCAGTAAAAGTGAGAACATAATAGGAAAACCAATACTGAGAACAGAGGAAGAGGGATGCTTCCTCTGAGAAGGAACCACAGTCAGTGGGCAAAGCTGGCAGATGGCTTAGAGGCCAAAAGTCACTGAAACATGAAAACATGAGAGAGGAAGGGTTGAATCAGAGGACAGGGTGTCTCAGAAAGAGAGGAACTGTTTTCTTCCAGTATTGAGACTTGGATAATGTTCATATTTGGTTGTTTTCCTTTGAGCTCCTCAAGACATCAGAAAAGATTTTTGGCTTTTGGCTTTAAAAATCAAGCCTACCTGCTAAATAATGAAAGTATTTATATTAGTGAAGATTTTCAAAGCAGTGCCATTTTAATCATTTATAATCATTACAGTCTCGTGGGGCTTAAAGAGGCCAAATCTACAGGAGTCTGTCTTTATTTACTACACTTTCTCTCAAAGTCAGATGCTTGTAATAAATGTAACAGAGAAATCTGTTTGTTGTCTTCATATTACAGTACAGTACATTTTCATCATGTACTGTGTTGCTAGTGGCGACTGTCCATCTTTAGCTTTAGTGTAATGCACACATGAACAGTAGATATTGTGTCATCAACAACCTCATTAAGTGCACTTAAGTGTAATAGAAATGTAATGGGTTTAAAATATTTACAATTAGTATCTAATATAGAGACTTACAATACAACACGATACATATAAATTCATTTTAGTTTAGTGGTCATAAGTTGAAGAACTGCACTGTTGCAAAAGGCCGACAGAGCAGAAGAAAGGAGGTTTGTACAGTCAGAGGATGAGGAAGCTGCTGACGAAGTTGCCGCTCTGTTTTTTGGGCCTCTCTGCTGTGCCCTCGATTCTGTCAGTGAATATGTGTTTCAGTGATGACGCCGAGATGTTTCCGGAGCTGCTGAGAGCTCACTGGGGTCAGAGAAATGAGCTGAGCTGGGATTTCCTCTAAGCCCATCCTGGTGTTTTACCCACTGGATTCACAGGGACAAATTACAGTGGAAATTATGCTCTGTTTATATTAGTCAGACATGGCCATTGAATTTTAATCTTGAAGAAATTATTGTGACCATAAAGACATAAGATGTGCAAATAAAGTGACTTCAACTTTACAGAAGGGGTTGCTGCTAAAGTTTTCCAGGTTGATTCTTGTTTAATGAATTTATATGTATTGTAGTTTTCTAGTTCAGAAGTGTTACTTAACTAAAAGGTACCAAGTAGTGAAATTAAATGACCTTTTAGAGTATTTAGTTAGCAGTTATTTTTATTTGTCAGTCTGATATCTGATATGTAATGCAGGGATTGTTTTACAAAGTAAGTGCTTATACATTAAGAGTTTTAAAGTCTTTTCTTTTTTCTTTTCTTGCAGCTCGTACCCCGATCTTCTCCCATCTCATCCTCTCACTAAAGGGTTTATGGACAATTCGGGCATTTGAGCGCCAGACCTACTTTGAGACACTTTTCCACAAGGCTTTGAACACTCACACGGCTGCCTGGTTCCACTACCTGTCTGTTCTGCGGTGGTTTCTCTTCCGCTGTGACATGCTCTTCACCGTGTTCTTTACTGCTGCTGCCTTCATCGCAACCGGAAGCAACAGTGAGTGTGACTACATGTGGACAATAAACTTTATATAAAAGAGAGAGAGCCACCATGACCTCAACTAATGTTTATGGACTCCACATTTTGAAGTGTCAATATTTAGACAAAAGTGTTCAGAGCCAACATAACAGTCAAACAAGCTTGGTTAGCAATTTGTATCTATAAACTGTGAGGGAGCAAAGCTAAGACATAGGCACCTGATAACTAGTAGCTGTGCACCAAATTGTAAGACTTAAAAACATAAAAGTAAATCCCTGCCAGTACTAGTTGTTAAGTAGGGGAAAACAGCACTAGTGTGAAAACGCAGACATTTTTATGGCTAAAGTTTGGGAGTTTCAGCATGGGAATCTGTCAGGACTGACCTGCTTTTGGAACCAGCCTCAAGTGGCAAGTCAGTGAACTGCATTCGAAGGGAATTGCCTGTTTGTTGCCTTTGGGTGTTGTTAGTGAAGCTGTGTTTGTGGTGATGTACAATAGATTTCATGATTAATAACATACATGAAGTTTATCATAAATATTTTGGCTTTTTCACACCTTAAAGTCCTGTCAAGGTTCATATTTTTGTTGCAGCATTTACATTTTTTCTGACAGATTTTTTATTTCTATTTCTATTTATGTTTTTTTTTTTTTTTAAATAATTGGTTTGAAAGCTGCCAGAAAAAATATTTAAATGAATGCTAAATTACATTTCAGTTTCATTCATAATAAGTCCATAATAATAAGTTGAACTTATTTGGTCTAAACCTTTGTGGTCTACTCAGATCAAACACGAGGTGTAGTTTCACCTTGAGTCAACAATATGGATGCAGCTTCTTCAGTGTTTTGGGAAATCCACACGGCATACCACACCAGGGGTACCACCAGAATCAAGTTGCAGTTAACATCATTTCAGAAGTTACCGGGAAGTTTTGCAGTTCTCGTCACTGTTGTCAAAGGACTGTCTTTCTTTTGGTATCTCAAAAAGTGAATCTTTTGCATCTGACTGCCCACAAACAGTGACAATTAACCTGTTCTCCATTTCTGATAGTCAGTGTCAAATCACTTTGACTTTGACCATTTTGCTGAAGGATGACTGGTGACTGGATGAATTCATCGGTGACAAATGTCAAAGAATATTTTTGTGATTAGATTGTGGCCAGTTGATTTCTTTAGATGATTATAATCAAAGGAGCTGGTGCATTTGAACAACCAAATGACAGGATATCATAAAGTCAGTTTGCAATGGAGACATTACAGAATATGAGAATAATCATTGTGATTAAATGATGATTAGACATTGAATTGTGTTGCAAGAACATTTTGAAAATTCCCACATGTTGGTTAGTAAGCACTTTGATATGCCTACTGAGCCTAACAAGGACAAAACCCCAGTATTATCTGTAGTTTGCAGTGTGTAGAGTTAGATGATGATAAGAAGAGAACAGTTTGCCTGTGAAAAGTCATCAGAACCGCTCAAATGCCCAAGGATAAAATGTCTTGTACAAAAAGGAGGCAAGTGTTTTCTTGGTGAATTGGAATGCAGGTATACACACACAAACCCATGGGTTGTTGCGTCATAGGATCAGTTTATATTGAGAGCACATTAATGGGTCATTACACAGCTCATTAGTTTCCAATGGACCCAGTAGCAGCGCTCCAATACCTGAATGCGGGTCTGACATCAGAGAGAGCAGTTTTGATTGGACACTACTGATGCGTGTGTGTGTGTGTGTGTGTGT